TCTCAAACAAGTACAGTACTGTATGCTTTTTATATTTTTAGTAGTGTGTCACACAAACAGCAAATATTGTCAAAAAAAGTAAGAAATCTTTGGGGGTGCTTTGATTCATTTTGGGGGTGCTGAAGCACCCCCCAAAATGGGCTAAAATCGCCCCTGCTCTGATTAATAAACTGCAGGTGATGAGAATCAAAAAGGTACTTGAAAAGAAACCAGATGATTTTTTTAAGCAAAGTAGATACAAATCTGTTCTGTTTTTTCTTTCTAGATTATACCATTTATTAGGACTTTCATATTTCTTAGGGAATTAATATATCCAGGCCTGTGTAATGGACAATGAAAAAACAAAAAAACAAGAAGAAAGGTTCTGAAAAAAAGACTGAACAATAATCCAGTTTTCATATTTAACACAAAGGAAATGTTCTTGAAAGAAAAAAATCCACTCCAGTAAAACAGGGAAACCATAGCAAAGTATAAAAACAAAACAACATAACAGAGAAATTGTGTGGTTTGCAAAAAATCATATTTTCTCATAGATCCATATTCTAAACAAAATTCAGCCCTTTTGACTTTCATGATACCGTTTCATGGAAGATTTGACATCATTTGTTTTATCTTGTGTTTAACGTTTGGTTTACGAGGGTTTTATTTCACCAAAACAGTGCTTCTAGCTTTTATGTTAGCTTATATATTTGTGTTCTTCTGTATATAAACTAAGTAGAAATAGATTTGGGTCTATAGTAGAATTTCTTATGAAATAATTTCCTCACACGTCCCTTTGAGCTCTGAGGGAGTTAGCCACATTTGTATTTGTGTGTTAGTCTGAGGTATTTTCACTGTCTGGGTGGTTTCTAGTCCTCAAATCTTTGTGCAATACGTTTAGATTATCATGTGAACTCTTGCAAAGAGGATGTAAACAGATTATAGGATTTTGGTATAAAGTAATTTTCTTTGTCATCATTATTTGAAGAAGTGTTTGTATGTGAAATATGTTGATGTGCTTTAATACCAATTTTGTAACACATTACCCGTATGTACTTTTTTTTACATTTAAAAAAAGTGCTTACATTTTTATCGTCAGTGTTAATCACGTTATATTTTTTTTAATAATTCATAATTCTGTTTGTATCTATGTATTTATCTTTTAAGCTCATTACTTTTTCCGAGTCTGACTTAATGAGCTCAGCAGTGGGTGGTGCTCATGTCAGCTGGTCAGTGAACGCATCCCTCCGGCTGTCTGTCGTTCAGTGAACGCACCACCGCTGTCTGCTCTCTAGTTACAGTATGGCGGCTGGGACTTGCGGAGGAGGACAACTTCTTCTAGATTCCTTCCACAAAACTGTTGGAAGGCGACGGCATTAATATAAAACTTATAGCGGCAACCACGAGGTACACTGCAACAGACAACAGCGGCATAACTTGTGTTTCTTACTGGGGCTTTCCCCAGAAAATAATCGGACTGGTGTGTGATGCGTGAGGACCCGCAGTCAAGAAACTCCCCTGATTTTTCCGCGTCGGTTTCTGCTCTGACTGTCAGTTAGCCGGCTAGCTGCTAGGTAGCTCCCTTCAATGCTAACGCTCGCCTGCAGAACTCTATATTAGCAAAAAGAAGCGCTAGCGTGTTGCTTTTATTTACTCCAGGTGACAGGGATGGTATATCGTATCCATTCGGTAAGCGGACTGGTTGAAAAAGATGGGGAGAAAAAATTTGTGGACCTGGACGATAACTTTGTCAGTACTCATTAGCCTAGCCTAGCTTAACCTAGCGTTCTAGTACAACGCCAGAAGAGAGTTAGCGCTTCGCCTGTCCACCAGCGAGTTAGCCAATTAGCATTTTAGTTGCACAAGACGGCCAGATAATCCTCCCCTGTTCATCCCGGTGGATGGTTTTGAAACGTCTCCGCTGACTAATTCAGACGAAGAGTGGGCACTGAGCTGCTTTAGTTTTATAACTCAGGGGTGTTTTGGCGTTCGGGCTCGCTAGGTGTTCTCTGGTAGAGGGAGTGGTGAAGGTAGGGAGATAGGAAGGTAGCTAAGGTTCCCTGCATCAGGGCAACAAGGTCACTCAGATTATGAAGAGCCATACATGTCAACTACACTTATAGATGACACTTTAGTAAATGACAGACGCGTGTGTGTTGTGTGTATGTGTGTATAGGGTGATGAACGCTGGGGTGTGTGCCTGCTGTTAGCTTGCTGCAAGAGAAGACAACACAGCTCAGAAGCGCGCAATAATTGGACCTACTGCTCTTGATAGACGTTAAACAGACAGTTTAGTCAGCACAGAAGGAGTTTGATGGACGTGAGGGGCTGTCAGTGCTATACTCACTTATGTATGTCTTGACACATGGCAGCTTGGTCTGTACATAGTGCCTGCTGTCACATATAAGCGTCGTTATGTAGCTTCGGTGGGCAGTCAGTGAGGGGAATGTCCTGTCTTTTTTTATACCTGTTGGTTTGTTTTTTATTTCTCATACACGAGAGAGGACCATGTTTACTAGTTAGTGCCTAGAAGATTAGAGGACTAACATTTCAGCCTACAGATAGGCCGCAGATATCGTAGATTATTCCTATTTTTTTTGGAGGAGGGACTGCACCAGAAAAACCTGCCACTCTGGATCAAGAAAACTTGCCCCTCGTCTCTGGTTGGAGTAATACTCTCAAGCCAAAATCAATGCCTTCAGCGCTGGCAATATTCGCCTGCCGACCCAACTCGCACCCATTCCAGGAGCGGCATGTGTACCTGGATGAGCCCGTCAAGATCGGCAGGTCGGTGGCTCGGTGCCGGCCAGCCCAGAACAACGCCACCTTCGACTGCAAGGTGCTGTCCAGGAATCACGCTCTGGTGTGGTTTGACCACAAGACTGGCAAGGTAAGCGGCAACAGCACTTAAAATTACTTTACGTAAATTGCTTTACTTTGGTGTTTATGTGGGCCTGAAACTACAGTAGATAGATACTTTACTCCATGTCTTCTTATGGGTTGGCCAAATAAAGAGAACCACCAGTGAGAAATATCACTTCATTGGTTTGCATCTTTAAATAGACAGGAATAAAAGGCCTATAAAGAGGAATTTTGCAATGTTAGCTGCTCATCTTGTTTACTTATATTTTCTATGGATGATCCCAATTAGCTCACAACCTTTCTTTTACTGTGTAAATAAAGTTCTTACCTAAGTGCTTAAAATATAGCAGGATATCCAACTTATTCCAAACTGAATCATGGTAACCCTTACATCAACTTGGGATAATTTAATATGCCTTATAATTGTGACTTGAAGATTTATAAATCATTTTTACCTTCATGAATCCAGGTAGCAGATTTTAATACAGCTATCATTATTAATACTAATAATGATAGTTCTGCTGTGGATCTAACAGGCTGCTGTTTAAAGTTTGAAATATATGAGCAGGTTGTGGGATGAAATGAAAAAGCAATGTTAACAACAGCATAATCTGTGTCACTCCTGTCAGTTATGCTGATGGATTAGTTTGTGTCACTATGAATTGTGGGGAGGCATTGTCTCTTTAGTTATAAAGGAAGTGCTGTAGCACATTTTTATACTGTTTAGAGCAGGGGTGGGAAATTGATTTTTTCCCAAGGTGGCCACATGAGAAACTGACCCTTGTGGAGGGCCACACCAATAAACCGAACTCAGTTATGCTCAGTTTTCTCTTCTTTTTCTCACGTGAGCCCTCGGGAAAATGTATTTCCCCCCCCCACAGTTCAGAGAGTTCAACCGGCTCTTCTTATTGCTTCCTTGTCACTTCTGTTAGGAACCTCCATAAGAACAGCTGACGCTGTGACTAGTCTGGGCTTTTTCTGGTTCATAATAAACTTTTAAGCGAGTGGGGCACTAAGCAGGATTAGTGAGTGTGTAGTTGAGGTAGGGTAGCTTACTTAACAAATGTGTGCATTTTGCTGATATTGCCCAGCTTTTAATTTTTTAAAAAGGAAGTTTTCAGCAAATTAAATACGGCTTTGAAACCACTTAATTGATAACTCTTTGTTCTGTGGACTGATGTGCCTGAACGATTTTGGAGAAAATCTTCACACATTTACATATGTTTTTAAATTTATTTAAGTAGTTGACTTAACCTGCTATCTAAAATTACATAATTGAAAAGGATCAGGATTTACAGATGCACCAGTTGCAATTTTCCTCAATTTTAACTGATAGCATATACCCACTCTGCTTCAATGCAACGTTTTACTTTCATAATAAATATAAATTATTAAACTTAAGAATTTTCCCCCAAACTGCAGTACATTACAAGATCTTCTCTCATTGGAAAATTGAAAATAAAGTTCGCCGTCACTGGAAAGAGTTACAAATAATTGAATGAAAATGAGGTGCTGTACACCTACCTTTACCTGTCATATTTTATGTAGGCAAACAATGTCAAGTTCAACAGATTTGTATAACAAAACAAATGTCAGGTACTTGCATCATTTCCTAGTATTTTTATAACTTCACCAGATAACAGGGCATTGACCCTTCTCTCTTTTCCCACTCATCTCCGTAATTTGTCTCGTAATTGCTTTGATCTTTTGCTCACGCTGAGGCTGCTGGCTTGTGTCTGGCTCTAAGTTCTGGATAGTTGTAGCTTTAACCACTTTTCCTTTGTTAGGTTCTTTGTCTCAGTGGAATTGTTGTTATGAACTTTTTCACTCTTGTGTTTTACTTTGGCGAACTGTATCTTCACTTGCAGTGAGGAGATTAGATGGTTTTGACATAGTGTGTGTGGTTGTGCATGTGCATATGATGATTTGTCTGCATTGCTGTGTGCATGTGTTGTGCATACATGAACTAGCCTTTTCTCAGTCAGGGCAGAAAACGCTGGCCAAGTTCCTGATTGGGGAGTTGATCGGTGCATCTCTACTGAGTTGGGACCTTTTTGTAGTGACGAATCCAAATTTTGCAGCAACATATTAATGACTAACCTGGCATTATGGATGCATCAACTCGGACTTGTCTTTCTATCAAATGATGGCATTTATCTCTGCCCATCAGGGACCCTAAAAGCAAGATTTTCACCAAGAACGATTTACTAAATCTGTAGCCAGGCAGTACATTATTAAATGTCAACTGGCCCAACTTAGGAGCCCTCCAAATGTTGCTGCTATTTAGATTTTAGTTTTCATTTATATCTGCACTTATAAAACAGCTGTACATTTTAATTTTTTATTTCTTTCTGTTTTTTTAAATAAATACTTCTGACTAACTTCCAGTGGATTCCTAACTTGGCTAAACTTTGTGAATTCTCTCTTTCATGGATGACTTGGTGTTAAAGTTTATTGTAACAGCCACACTAATCATTTTATTGGAGTGAAAGAGTTTGGACTGTTTAACTGTCAGTACGGTCTCCGTGTTCGATTTTTGGGGACTGAAGGAGACTTTGGACCTGGACATGTATAACTGCCAATAACTGAAACCGAGGTTGAAATCACAATACAAACTTCTCCCATCTCATAGTGTGGGACCATCATTTCATACCATAATACTCATGTGAAAGTGATAATTTATTCTCACTTATTTTAAGATTGATCAGGTAATACATGGACTGAAAATCTAAATTGTTGTACTCTTAGCCATTAAGAGCGCTCTTGGTGCTAAACCAAAAAGATAAAATGAAAATTTAGTGTATCTGCCAGGTTTTCTTATAAATGGGATGTATTTATTTATTTAAATAAATAATGTGTCTTTCTTCTGAATTATTTAAGTAATTTCTGTCATTAGAAAGTGGACAGTAAAACCAAGAATCTGTTAAATGCAGAGAATGAGATAAAAATAGTTGTAGGATTCATTTTTCAGACCAGGGGCTAAACTTAGTCCAGGGCTAACCAAAATTCAAAGCAGATATTCATTGAATGGAGCCCACATTCCAGTCTACGATTAGACTTAATCCCTTTCAGGGGAGCCAAACTGTTGTTTCGTTAAAAGGCACAGGTCTGAATGTAAATTGGGCATATAAAATCTGTGCGTTGTTGCATCTGTAGTTTCTCTGCTGAACAGGTTAAACAGACTGAGACAGCCATGGGATTACCCAGCACTGTGGTATGCAGGGACTTTGAAATACCCTCTGTATGTCTCTGTGTGTGTGTGTAAAGGCAGCACAGGCTATTTATAACGACACTGGCAGCGTCATCCTTTCCTCTGTTCAGGAATAAACGCACATGCAGACTCACACTGATCTGTAGGATCTTACCATTCACACATGCTGCTGAATGTATTGAAACAGGGAAGTAATGATTTGAGATTATTGGTTTATCACTTGAGTTTTTATTACCAAGGAAGTTTTTTTCTTATGGCTCATGAAAAGGTTGTATTTGCTCTCTATATGTGTGATTAATACAGTCAGTTGAATTTTAATGTAATAAATGTAGGACCTAGATAATTCGTTTCCTATAGAATGAGGTTTTGTTTGTGGCAGTGTCGGGGCAAAGGGCATGTGTCCACACACAAGCATGTCCGTGTCAGGTAACGCAGTTTTTCATTAGGTTCTTTATTTTTAATTTTTCACAGTGCTTCACACTGGTTTTACTTGTGAAGCAAACAGGCATACATGCACGCACGCTAATAAGAGTTTTTTTTCCTTACAGTCAGTATTACCAATAAATCCTTCATTAAACTGCCTGCATGGAGAGTTTCATTGTGAAGGAAAGTGATGTTTTTTTCTGCTTCCATCCACTGATATAAAAAAATATATCTGTAGATACTAATTATTCTCGCATATTTGGATTATAAATATAAAAGTTCATATCTCCAAAAACAGTATTACTATAGATTGAGCTTCCCAGTAGTATATGAAGTCGAATGACCACTACCTTGCGTTCTAGTATTATTACCTGTTTTGCAATTAACTCACATAGATTGCATGGGACTAAGGCAGCAGAAATATGTATTAGGGTAATGCTACACACACACACACACACACACACACTCACTCACTCACTCACTCACTCACTCACTCACTCTAAAAGTGGCTTGCCTAACCTGTACCTCATAACCGTTGTTTCCTCTTGCAGAAACAATGTTTGTGTGTCACATGACTCTGCAGTTTTAGTTCTTGTAAAAATCAGTCTAACGTGAAAGGGTTTGAGGAGTGATTGCTGTATGGTTATTCACTATACATATATATATCTCCCAGCTAGGGCTGGGCGATATGGCCTAAAATTCCTATCGTGATATAATTTGAAGCATGTGCGGTAATGATATATATCACGATATATTCTTTTCTTCTGTATAAC